AAGTGGCCTCTAGCAAAATATTACAACTACCTAATTTATATAAGGATAAATAATCTGATGTAACCTATCATATAACCATATCATTTTATACCCCATATCTATATATGTATATTTCCATATCCATTTTCTCATTTCTATATCCTTTTTTATTTCCATCAAAATCACTTTGAACATACCAAACTAGCCTTTAAGAAAGAATTACCAATTATCCCTTTCATGATACTTCAAGGGCAGATATGCACCTTATACCTTCAATTAAATTAGTCTCACCAATAATAAACAATGAGATAAAATAAGCTAAAGAAAAAAGAGAAAGAAAAAGTTGAAAAAGCAAAGCGCAATGCACTGAAATAATGAAAAAGAACATTGGGTGGGAAACAAACTTGAAGGTTGAAGCAATGAAAACAATGGTAGAGGAAGCAGGAAAGATGATAGAGGAGGAAGAAGAAATAAACTCACAAACCAAATCCAAAACCAAAAGCACAAATCACTCTTACCTTAGCCAAAGCATACCAGAAGAAGGAATGGTCAACCATAAATCTTTACTTGGACAATTAGCATCATCTAAGAAAAAAGGTTTTAAATGATGAAGGCCACCAATGGCATTGTAGTCTTGTGGCTGGCAAGCACCCTTGTAAGTGGGAGGTTACGGGTTCGATTTTGCTTACAACCTCAAGCCATTAATGACTATCCCATTAGATAAAAAAAAAGGGATAAAGGTCAAAGAGGGATTTTGCAACAAGAATAAGAGGATGAGCAAGAAGAGGGAATGAGAAAGTGGAAAGGGATTGATGAAAAAGTCAATTGACTTAAAGTTAAACGATAAAAATGAAAAAAAATAATTACATAATTATAATGTGTGCATGAGGCAACCAAAATCCCTGTGATGATATATGAAATTAATTATAAATATTCTGAATCTACTTTATGTTGAGGAAAATCTTGCATTAATTTTTTGATAATCTTTATTATTAATTTAATTAAAATTTAGATTATGTTTTAAATAAATAATTATGATTCATAATTAAACAATAATTTAGATTAGATTATATTTATGAGATTGTTTTCTATTTAGTAGAGTAACCCATTTTTATAATTTCTTTTGCTTGAAACTTAAGTTAGATTTGTCTTGCTTAAATAAAGCAAGCATTCAACTACATTGCAAGCCTTTTTTATGCATCACCTTGATTATTGTTGCTTGTCCTAAGTTTATCCTCTCTGTGTTTAGAGGTGGGAAAGAGGAGAGCCTAGCCCTTATGGGCCCAAGCCATAAAGCCTGATTTTCCTAAAAATGTCCTATTCATGAAGCCTGGTGAAAAGAGTTTATTGTTAACTCCCAAAATAATGTTAAGTTTCACACTATATATATAATGGTCAACCTAGGTCGATTTTCTCAAGGAGGCTTACAATAATTAATTAAAGCTAATCAATATCAATTAAATTACTTAAGGGTTGATTGATTTTGATTTAATTTTTAGAAAATTAAAAAGAAAGCTTTAAAACTAAACTAAAGTGTTTTGTGTGGTTTCTTATGGAATGGTAAGATTTTAGAGTTGGTGTAGTGAGTGAGTCATTAGCTAAAATGTTAATTAAGTTTTGGCTTTAAATTACTTTACCCTCTTAGCCTAAAATGAAGAAAATTAGGAAAATTATCTCTAGCCTGTTAACCTTCCTAACAACCTCCCTAAGTCCTAGATTAAGGTCCTTAGTTCAATAAATTAGGTTAGTTTTTAAGTATTGACCAAGTGATGTGAATTATATATAAATGATTTGGCCCTTCCCAAAAGGCATGTAAACTCCTAAGATTATGGACATAAAACAAGAAATCAAGCATCAACCATTCAAAATTATGATGTAGAAAATATAAGACAAGACATTAAAGAAAGTCTCAAGATTATGATAGCATTGACTAATGTAAGGAAGTACCAAATACAAAAACATAATTAAATTATTGAGTTCTCAACAATGCACACAAATGAACCAAGATTATGATTCAAATACATGATAAAATAATTCAAAATTATGGCCTCACAAATCAAAACATTGAAGAAAACTAGGGTAGAGTAATTAAAAACTAAAGAGATGTTAAGTGTTCGGCCTCATCTTTTTGCTCCTCCTCTAAGACCCAGCCCCTTAGCCTTTAAACTCTATGGAAGACCTTTTTTTCATGCCTTGGCCGAATTGAAACTCACCTACCATAGGATATGAAAACCTTGGATGGATGAATGGATGGAGACTAGGGTTGTGTGTGTGTTTTTGCATGATGCAAGTGATGGATGAAATTTGTGAAGAGAGATGGAAAGAAGAGATAAGAGAATGAGAGAAAATGAATAGAATGGAATGAGTCTTGGATGAAATTGCTCCACCCTTGAATTAGTATGGATGATTATGTGAGTGATGTGTGTTTGAGTTGTCTAAAATTATGTGTGTGGATCAAGCCTAGAATGAACTGGGACACAAAAAGGATTAGGTTTAGATTAGAAGGGCGGCATAGGAGCTAGTTTCAAGGTAATGTTGTTGGCTACAAATCTAATTTTCTAAATCATAAAGTCAAAACAAGGATTAAGGAGAGGATAAGAGTTTTCCTAATTAGGAGATTTGAGTGATGTGATACCACATGCTTGTCATTTTGAATTTGAATTTGAATTTTATAGCTCCCTCTCCTCTTCTTGTAAGGCCTTGCACACCTAACTCAAGCTCAAAAGCCTTCCTTGCTTGCCACTAGCCCAATTGACACAAGTCCAAGAGTACAAATTAAGTCTACCAAGTCAACAACCCTAAAATGATAAAATAAATTTGATTTAATCTAATAATAACCTAAGTCACAAAATAAAATTTGATTTAATCTAATAATATATATGTGATAAAATAAATTACATTTTTTCACAAGGACTTAATTATTTAAATGGGAGAATATTTATAAATGAAATTCAAGAGCAATGCCATGTGAGAAGCATAATGTAAACACATGCACATGCAAAGCTCAAATTAGGTCAACCAAGTCAACAACCCTAAAGTGTGGCTTTTATGTAATATCTCCCAACCAAAATGAATTTTTAAAAACCAATTGGACCATTATAAATTTGGGCAAATATGACATTTAATCCAATAAAAGTTCAATTGTTCATAAAAGTACAAATTTGGATAAACAAATTCACCCCTTAGGTGATTTTATCACTTTTAACACATAGAATGCATGTAACTAGGGATATATCATGCAAAATAGATTTTAAATGTATGGATAAAGTGTGTAAATAATATATCTAATCACCAGGCCCTTAGTCAAAGGGTTTAAGGCTGAGCCCATGAACCTATTTTAGAAGAAAAATTAAAAAAATTAAATATTAAAATTAATTAAAATATTCTAAACTTCAATCAAAATTAGAATATTATAACCACCAAATTTGCAATCTCCCTCAACCAAATTGCTTTAACATCCCCAAGCGTGTGTACAAATGGCATTTCGAGCAGAAACTACGTTCTAATCACCAAATTTGCAAACATTGCCTTGATATCTACAGTGTCATTAACTTTCTGAAGGTAGAGACAAAACTAACAATAAGAACATTGCAATTTAATCTTTAGCTAAGTTTCTCCTCTTCTTGAGACCAAAATTGAAACCAAAAATTAAGGGATTCAAAAACATAGACTCAACTTGCTAATATGAATAGGGCAATGAAGTTTAATAAGATCATTGCAAAGATAACAATTTCAAATAAATGTACATATCATCATGAACACAAAATCAATAAGTGAAGGCACTTAAAGTAACCACTAAAACAATATGACAGAATCAGAGGCACTTAAAGCAGAGACTGACTTATCAAGATAGTCAAATAGAGGCAAATGAAGTCTGAAGATAAGATAGATAACCAAAAGCTGAGATCGAGACCTGCCATTGCCAAGATCAAGATTGATCAAGATGAGTGAGGAGAGGGAGAGTTAGTGACTTGCCATTACCAAGAATGAGATGATTGAGGGAGGGAAAGCTAGTGATCTAGATCAAGGGGCGAGATCACCTTAGTACTATGAGTCTATGACTTGTCATTACTGATATCAAAAGGAGAACACTGTGAAGCAAGAGGCATGACTGTATTTGCATCGTTAGGGAGAGCACCGTGAGGCAAGAGGGTAAGCAAGCACCAAGATGAAGATTTGAGGGGAGAGCTATCTACTCGGGTGTGAGAGAGGGGGAGTGATTGACTAAGTTGAGCGAGAACATTAGGGTTTTGACCAAGTGATTGAGGCATTGAATTTGATTGGAAAAGGGAAAAAGGGAAACCAAACTTGGAGGATCTCTCGAGCTTGAGCTCCTTTTTCAGGCCCTATTAAGGCCAAGTTTTAAAGCTTGATTTCCCTAAAAAGGTTCAATTTCTCAAGCCCAAACCCTTATAGGCTTGGGCTTAAATGGGCAATCCTCCAAGCCCATCCCTTATTCCAACTTTATCTATGTTGTCCCTTTCTTCTTTTAAGCCAGCTTGTCCTTACTTTAAATTGATCAAGCAAGGATGGGCCCCTTGGGCTAGGGGATAATTTACACACCCTCCTTGTCATTGGGTTGGTTTAATTACATGTGACGATTCCTAATATTTTACATTTTTGTGATATTTTTCACCATATATTTAGGGAGTCATCAATATGGTCCTTTGGATACTATTTCCCTATTTGATTAAAAGAAATTAGAGTAATTTCATAAATTACAATTCATTATTGGTACTTTTATATTTGCTTTTTAGGCAATAAGATTAAACATTTAATTTGTTGAAGGAGAAAACATAGTTATAAGAAAGATATATGTAATTTAAGTAAATCAAGTAGGATGGCTCTGGTAAAATTTTATATAAGTGGCACTATTCATAAATAATAAACTGCATAAATCAGGTTTCATTATACAGTAAAGAGGAAATGTGTCTAGTAATGAAATTAATAAAGATAAGCATTTTGTATTCTTTCAAAGAGCTACAAGGAAAATGTTATATATACACAGAATCCAGCCCAAGTAAAAGAAGCAAGTGATTTTATAGAGACACTTGACTTAGGAATAAGGATTATTCTGCCACCCAAAATAACAAAACCAGCAACAAGTTAATGAATTGATTGGATTGTTCTTCAACTTAAGAATAAACACGTCATGGGATGGGCAAATGGCTCTGGAAAAAAAAAACTATTTAAAGCATTAATCAATTAATTGATGATTCAGACTTTGATTAAATGAATTAAAGAAGGGAATAGTACATGCCACTTTGGATGAGTACTTAATTAGTTGAATCCAATGGGCCTCTATTAATTAACAGAGATATATCTTAGCTTCTTTTTGATAGCGATGAATATAATTTGATCGAAGAATTCGAGAGGCTATAGATGGTTTTATTAGATGGCTCGGCTTTTCACAATGTCCAAACTCATCTCGCTTGGATCAGTGGCTTGCAGTTCAAATTGAATTCCATCCAGCTCTCTCTTGAATCTATCCTTAGAACTTGCATACACCATCTTCATCCTCACTTTTGATGTGTCAGGAGACCTGCTTAATTATAATTAATATCACAATAATTATAATCATAAAACAGCTATAACTTTCTTAAATCACTAATCCAAACAAATTTCTTACATGTGCTTGTGTGTGAGCAGGGAGAAACTATCTCTTCATACCTTTTTACAGACAATTTTCTCCGTTTAACCATAATCATTTAACAGTGGAAGAACACTAGTTAGGCATGAGATTAAAGGGTTAAGATGCAAAAATATCTAGAAACCTTTTCTTAAAGAGCTTTCAACCTTTCCCAATCCATTAAGTTTTATCTTTAGAACTTAATGATTAACATCAAGCTATTTTAACAGATAAGGGAATGCTGACCCATTTTATAAAGTCAATGTGTACTCAAATACCATCAAGAATACCTGAAGCTCCTAGAAAAAAAAAATCTTTGAATATTTTTGCATCTTAACCCTAGATTAAATATGTCATTCATTTGATCACTTTCTCAAAACAGCATTATGATTTCTTTTCTAGAACCATCAACAGTGTGTTTGCAGATGTATGCTGTTGCTAAATTTTTTTCATTCCTGAATCTTGCTTCTCACAAAGGCACTATGATTTCTTTTACAGTGTGTGTTAATAATGATTACATAGTCATTAGACCAAATGAACAATCAAATAGATATGAAAATGTAGAGATGATCCGCTTTGGAGCATGTGTGGTGGTTCATTATTGCACTCATATTGCATAGATATTACTAGATATTGCACTATTTAGCAAGTACACACGTACCATGCAATGAAGAAGATCTTGCTTTTCTGGCAATTCTCATCAGTAGTGAAATCAAAGTCATAGACAGCATAACGACACTCGTTGCTCGGCAAACTAGAAGTGAAGTCATCGTAACTTTGATTGGGGCCACCCACGGATTCAACCACAATTTGTTGTTGTTCTATTTTGAAGATAATAAAACGATAGCTCCTCTTAGCTTTAAGTTCTTGAAACTTAATTTTGCAGTCATCACTTACTGCCATTCCTGATGATGCATTTGCCTGTTCCTCATACATTTCCAAACTTAGTAGCCCCAATTTATATATAATTAATAGCTATACAACAAACGTATACATGCCTGCCTCATTTATTTTGCTTAGTTAGTAACATTTGTTGATAGTCAAAACTCTTGATGAATTAATTCAAACATTAAAACGCAACAAGTCACCAAATTATATATCTCCAATATTTTTTAGGAAAGACTTACAGTTGAAGTATATACATGCATTAAGAACGTACATGTTTAGTTTTATTATAGAAACCATCCAAATCAAGACTAGACATTTGAATCAGAATATGTGCACTGCCTAGCTAGTGTTCCTAAGCTTTTCCATATATGAGTTTTTTGTGCCGTGCTAGAAGCTGAATGAATGACATATTCTATAGTAATCCAATTTGTATATAGTACATTGAAAAGAGATAGAGAGAAAACAAATAATTTTGTTTAACCTTTTGTGTTTTCAAAAGTAAACAGATGTTGCTTATAATGGCTCTCGATCTAGGCAAGAGGATAAACAATTCAATGCATTTCTTATTTAATAAAAGAGATTAGAAAAGAGGTTAGTCTAATGATTGTATATGAACCCCACGTCATGTTACTCACAAAGCATCTAAGTATAAAGCAAAATCTATGCAGCTAATTAAATGATTGAGTGGGGAATTGAAGAGTACCATATTGACAGAAATGGGGAAGGAAGCCTCCTGCAATGGAATAAGAGAAAGGAGGAAAGAAAGAAAGAGAGAAAGAAGATGAGGATGGAAAATGAGAGGGCAATAGACACAGAAGAAATTAACCTCTCGGAAATAACGAGTGGAGATCCTTGTTTCTTGGAGGCATAAGGGGTTCTACAGCTTCGGTCAGATATTAACGCCTCGTTTTTGCTATTCTTGTTTACTTTCTATTCATCCTTTGGTTTCATTTTGGTACTTGTATATAATTCTTTTTTTTTTAAAATTTGGTTTTTTTATATGGTTAAGTTTGTATAGTTTCAAATTTTATTATAAATTTTTAAATTTTATGATTGTGTGCCATTAAATTTTATTTTTAATGCTACCAAGTATTTTTAAAGTTAAAAGACATGTTTACAACTTCATGCTGTTAATGCTGCCCTCTAATTAAAAAAAAAAACATAATAATAAGGCAAGCAATGTAGCTCAATTTTAATAGAAGCCACGTTTTGGCAAGTACTTTTTAGTTTTGACCTATGTATGTGTTGTTGGTATGCCACGTAGCATACATATAACATAAGTTCAATGAAACACACACACACACACACACACACATATTATTTTTTAAAAAAAAGTGTGATAGTGATGATTTTATAATTTATTCAACATATAGTTGTTGGCTTGGGTTTGGGAGTCAAACTCAAAGCATTGTGCCTTTTGAGGGTTTGCCGAGCATACCAGGAGAGTACATCCTTGAGATGAATAGTTAAATCAAATGATTGTATGATTCCTAAGGTCCTGTATGGATTCCTAAGTGAAATGAGAAACTTAGAGTACACCGCACAGATTCTACTTGCATAATTGATATGTGAGTACAATGACTTCTCCTATAGGAAGAGGAAATCTAAGATCAAGTAAACATAGCCTTGGGGATCCTAAACTGTACTAACAAAGAGAGTCACATTAGGCAATCTTTGGGGTTAGAATTCTGAGTATTATGCTGGGCATGTTTATTTGCTTGGGTTGATTGTGCAGAGTGTAGACCTTCAGTTATGCACTCTTCATCTATTTATAGAAAATGGCAATCCTTCAAATTTAGTGCTAGAAGGAGCTAGTAACTATCTATGTTATCAGATTGTCAAGGTGTACTCCATCATGTGGAGAGGTGAGGGGTAAGTGATTGTGTACTTCTGGTAGTGGGAAGAGTAGGTGAGACTAAGTCACGATCACTAGTACAAAAAGCATTTTTCGCCATAGTTAAAATGTATTTTTGGCGACAGAAGATCTCCTGTGGAAGAAAATAGTGTGGTAGTAAATATATATTTTTTGCGACAGGTATAATGTAATTGTGGCAAAACATGCTATTTTCGCCACAGGTGAAGGTGACCTGTGGCAAAATAACCTCTTTTGCCACAGGTGTATTTTCAGACCTGTGGCAAAAGATAGTATCTTTCGCCACAGGTCCTAGAGACACCTGTGGTGAAAGATAGTTTCTTTCACCACAAGTCCAACCTTCACCTGTGGCGAAAGATATCATTTTTTGCCACAGGTCTCTCTTGACCTGTGGCAAAAGATGGTTGAGTGGCGCACCTTTGTCGACAGTTGTAGTTACAACTGTCACCATAGATTTATTTTTTACCACAGTTACAACTATAACTATGGCCGTAAATGCTATGCTTTTTTTTTTATATAATCATCTATAATTATATACATCCCTTACTTTTACAAAACCTGCATTAATACATAAATAGCAACTCCAGAGGCCAATACAAATATATATTGCAAACATTTCAACTAAAATTTCCATTTGAAAATACACATATTTAAAATGTTTCTACTCTAACCCTGTTAATTCTAAGAAAAAATGAGACCAAAGATTTCGTATATGTCTCAACTCTCGCTTAGAATATGGCTCTAAATTTTGAAAGTACTGCAATTTCAATAACAATATATATAAATAATAACTCAAGTATATGACAAATTTCGTACTATAAATCATTATTAGCAAATTATTACATGATCAAATGAGTGAATAATACCTTGAGTGATGATTTCATACATAAAATCATTACATAATAACCACACTCTACACTACCTGGTTGTTGAGGACACTATAGAGATAATAAAAATAATAAATTTATTAAATCAATATTATAATCTTCATTCTAATAAGAGAATAAATTTGAAATACTTACTTGCATTTGCACCCACTTAATTTCATTCTTTTTCTTGTCAACCATTCCCACTGATTTTCAATATGTTGCTAATGATCTATTTACCAATATACACACTTAGAAAATATTAAATATATGTTATTAATAACACAAAATAGAATTATTTAAAGACTTACAATTCAATCAAAGACTTCATATCATCGCTTATTTCCCTTTATAGTGAACAAAACCAGTATATAGTATTTTCATATAGGCAAATGACAGGAAGCATCTAATGATGACTACAACATATTAATTTATATTAATATCACATCATTAAGCAAATTTTTATTAAATTGAGGGATGAATTTAAAATTTAATACCTTTCAATAATTGGTAAAAACGAGCACCTTTTCTTTTGCCTACACATCGTCTTTCCAATATAAGAAGCTCTTTGATTCACTTTCCCGATTGCGGTTAAAAGTGGAGACAAGAACCCATAATTATAATTGACACCGAGTTCGGTGCATATCTTATGGAGGTACTTTTGATAATAAAAATATGTTAGCAAGAAAATAAAATATTAAATATTAATCTAGAAATAAAATTGAACACTTACATAATAAACACTTGAATTATTGCTAAGTCCAACCAGTCAAAAATAATGAGATCATTAATGTCTTTTCTGGCAACTCTGAAAGTAATAGGCTTCCCAACAATCATTTCGCTTACTTTTATTTCATCAGAAAGTTCATTCATATCAACCACCACCAAAGCCAACTATTTCAAATAATCTTGCACCGGTTGGGGATTAAAACCCAGAGATTTTTTTGATTGTAGGAGTTCCTATAATTAATATATAATAAAAATAGAAATACCTATAATATTAATTAAGAAATATAAAAATTATATCTTTTCATACCTCATCGGTAACCTATCGGGCTAGTCTTTTCAACCAAATAATAAAATTATTCTCAGCTTATCCTACTATTTGCACCTCCTTAGTAGGGAATAACACAGGAGCATTGGCATCCACAACCTCTTCAACCGTGACCTTTACTTGGTTATGTTGTATTGGTTGGTGGTGCACTATAGTTGCATGGTTATACACCTTTCCATATGCAACTACTCGTTTGCCATGATCCTCCACATAAAGTATGCATGGCATTTCTTGCTCTGATAGGTCAGGATCAGACCCTGGATCTAGAACACCACCATAGTTCGGTGCTTGTTGTGATTGCATCTGGAGATTGCTAATCATTGATTGCATTTCCATCATCATGCTTGATTTGCATTCTGCTATCATCATTTGTACTTGATGCATTGGTACAAGATCAGGACGTGGTGGTGGTCTAAAATATTGTCTTATGCCCATGCCTTTTAGAACCCCCTAACACGGCCAGAGTGCTCTTCACTCCCTAATGCTGTGGCTAATATATCCTTCCTACCAGTAGATATAAAGGTCCCCTGAGAGGATGCTTCTATAAGAGCATCCTGAAACATGTAATCAACCAATGCAATTAGTAGACTTAAATCATATAATTGAGATGTTGACTGTAAAGATACTTACAATTTTTTCAGCCACTTCTCTAGCTTCTGGTGAAATATACTCTCCTTTTTTAGTCATCCGTCCTCTCTTCCATGCTTGTGCACGATTAATAGGAGATGGAGGAGAAACATCTTCAACATTATCAACCCCCGCCGCTTGTCTTTTTGCTTCCCACTTCTCTTGAGTCATTATGTCATAAACATATGCATACCCTTCTTGAGACATAGTATGGTTATATAGATTTTTCTTCCGACGCTCTTGACCCCTTTGACTTTTTTTCCTATTAACAAATAATGAAAAACATTTTTGTTAAAATAAAATTTTAATAATACTAGTTTGATATAATATTTTTCCTTCGCTTACCAAAAATTTAGGATCGTGTCTACTGTGAACAAATCTCATCCATGTGTCTTAATCAATGAATAGATACTTCTCCCAAGGTTTTTCCATGCCGATATCATTATCACTATCATCGTTTTCATTGTCATCCTTGGGAAACACATATTTTCTTGTAAGTTTAGACTTAAAGTCCCTCCATCAATCCCCGACATATTTTAGCCATTTGTATTTTAAAAATGGAGTTTCCTTTATGTCATATGTAATCTTCAAAAACACACCAATGATAAATTTAGTGACAACATATATTTTAAAATAAAAAGTAAATATGATATAAAGCAATTAGAAATACCAGTATTGTTTCCCAAACATCATCTCTATCACTTTCTTTTACATCATCCCA